TCATTTCCTTGTGTGCCCCGAGGTGCCTTATTTCCTTATGCCTCATGGTCCTGGCATGTAGCGGGACACACGGTTGGGCCATGACAGCGGGGTGGGGGACGTCTGTTTCTTTTGTCGATAGTGGATTCTGTTTGGGGAGCTGTGCGGTCCTTGGCCAGCGCCCGTGGAGCCCCATCCATCACTAGCCTTGCAGCTTCTGCATAATTCCTCTGGCATGAGCTGCTTGATCTTTTAAAATAATTAATTAATTTTTGGCTGCATTGGGTCTTAGTTGCTGCGCACGGGCTTTCTCTAGTTGCGGCGAGCGGGGGCTACTCTTGGTTGTGGTGCACGGGCTTCTCATTGCAGTGGCTTCCCTTTGTTGCGGAGCACGGGCTCTAGGTGCACGGTCTTCAGTAGTTGTGGCACTTGGGCTCAGTAGTTGCAGCTCACGGGCTCTAGAGCGCAGGCTCAGTAGTTGTGGCGCACGGGCTTAGTTGCTCCACGGCACGTGGGATCTTCCCGGACCAGGGCTCGAACCCGTGTCCCCTGCATTGGCAGGTGGATTCTTAACCGCCGCGCCACCCGGGAAGCCCCAAGCTGCTTGATATTTTTAAGATTTCTGTCCTCCTTGTTGGGAGAGTGAGTGGCAGGGAAGTCACCTTTTTTGAAGGGAGGCCAAGAAAACATAATTTGCTTTTGGGAGATTAATTAGAGCCTCTGGGAATCTTAAAAATGTCAGAAACGATTTTGTAGCCACTCTGCTAAATTTCAAATTAGACTGTAAGCTCTTTACTCAGAATGTGCAGCTCCTTTTAGAACTGAGGAGCTGATCCTTGCCTATCTGACAGGAAACTACCGCGACTACCTCCTCTCCCTCTCCACGCCCTTCATGGTTCAGCTCTTGGAGTTTCCCCGAGCAGCTGGTCTGTGTCATGCCTTTGCATATTCTGTTCCTTCTGCCTGGAATGCCCTTCCCCACATTTTCCTCCTTGAAAGCATATACCTGTCACACTCTTGCTGAAGGTTTTGTCTCCTCCTGCTTCTCCTCCTCCCAGCCAGAGCTACACGCATCTCTGTTAGAGCCCGCACCATGTTAAATGGTCTTGAAGGACCAGAATCTCCATGAGAAAAGGGGCGCTGTCTCCTAATTCTGAGGAGAGCCTCTTCCTCTAGGCTGAACCTCTGCCAGGGCCCACCCCGCTGCTCTGCGAGCACTGGGCTCTCTTCACATCTTGAATCAAGACTCTGGTGCGTGGACTTCCCTGGTGGCGCAGTGGTTAAGAATCCGCCTGCCAGAGCAGGGGACATGGGTTCGAGGCCTGGTCCGGGAAGATCCCACATGCCGCGGAGCAGCTAAGCCCGTGTGCCACAACTACTGAGCCTGGGCTTCAGAGCCCGCGTGCCACAACTACTGAAGCCCACACGCCTAGAGCCCATGCTCTGCAACAAGAGAAGCCACCGCAATGAGAAGCCCACGCACCACAACGAAGAGTAGCCCCCGCTCGCCACAACTAGAGAAAGCCCTGGCACAGCAACGAAGACGCAATGCAGCCAAAAATAAATAAATAAAATAAATAAATTTTAAAAAACCAACAAAACAAACAACAACAAAAAGACCCTGATGTGTTGCCCCAGTGTTAGGAGATCGGTGAACACAAAGGGACGTGAATCCCACACAGCACTAGGGAGTGGTTTGTACACTCCTCTTCAACTATGCAGCCCCTTGTTTACATAAACATCTTTGCAAGCCTAGGAAGTAAAAAGCAATGAAAGAGGAGAGGTGAAGAGTCTAGGGGTTCCACCAAAGCGCTCAGTTGGGTTCTGCAGAGTTCTGTTTAGAAAGCAGTGAACTTGGGGATGGGCATTGGTAAGTTTTCTCAGACAGTGTTTCTCAACTGAAAGCCTGTTTTGTGTTTGGGAGATCTAGTTAGGATACGATTTTGGCCACTGTAACAAAGGTCAGAATAACAGCGACTTAAGCAGAACAAGGTAAAAAAAAAAAAAAAAAAAATGACACTCAGGTTCTTCCTTTAAGCCTCTCCTTATAGTCTAGAAGGGATTGGGGTGCTCAAGGTTGCTGGGACAGCTGGGGGTGGCTTGGGATGGGGCATGTCGGGGAGGAGATCCACAGCGCTTAGAGATCAGTAACGGCCAACAGTGTTCTCAGCATCCCAGAGCCTTGCAAAGGCTTGGAGGAGTGAACCTGGCTGGCACATGTGGAGAACTTGGCCAGGACCTGTGTTCCATGCTAAGGGATTTGGGCGTCACCCCGTGCTGATGGGGCTGGGTAGGGAGGTGGGGGAGGGTGAACCGGTGAGTCTCTGAGTTCTTTTTTTTGTTTGTTTTTTTTTTGCGATATGCGGACCTCTCACTGTTGTGGCCTTTCCCGTTGTGGAGCACAGACTCCGGGCGCGCAGGCTCAGCGGCCATGGCTCACGGGCCCAGTCGCTCCGCGGCATGTGGGATCTTCCCGGACCGGGGCACGAACCCGTGTCCCCTGCATCGGCAGGCGGACTCTCAACCACTGCGCCACCAGGGAAGCCCGGAAATAACCACTATTAATATCCTGATATATATATATATATATTTTTTTTTTAAATTTATTTCCAATTTTTATAGAAGAGTTCATCTTTTCTAAAAGTAATATTAAATGATTCTGCTCAATATAAATAATTCAAACTTTAAAGATGAGAGCTTAAAAATTATCCCAAATATTATCCTTCAGAAATGCCTGTCGTTTCCTCCAGTGATAATCATTCTAGATGTCTCTGTAGGGATATAGACAGATTTAAATAGACACTTTTATAAATGGTGATCATATTCCTGTTTAGTAGAGTAGCCACTAGCCACATGTACCTACTGACCCCTTGAATTGTGGTAGGTTTGAATCAAGATGTGCTATAAGTGTAAAGTACACAACGGATTTAGAAAAATTAATATGAAAAAGAATGTAAAATATCTCAATAACTTAAAAAATACTGATTACTGGTTAAACTGATAATATTTGGATATATTGAGTTAAACAGAATATATTAGTAAAATTAACTTCACCTGTCTCTTGTTTCTTTTTTAATGTAGCTACTACAAATTTTAAAGTAACATGTGGCTTGCATATATTTCTATTGGATGGCAGGGCACTATTACAAAATAAGGTGTTAGTAAGTATTCATGGAGGGAAGAAACTGAATCCAAAGGAATTGTTGAGCTCCAAATAACTGCTTCACCATGTGACAATCATTTCCTAAAGAGTCCAATAAAGCTTTTTTTAAAAAAATATTTATTTATTTGGCTGCACCGGGTCTTAGTTGCGACATGTGGGATCTTTTAGTTGCGGCACGTGGGCTCTTAGTTGCGGCATACAGGATCTAGTTCTCTAGTGACTAGGGATTGAACCTGGGCCCCCTGCATTGGGATCGTGGAGTCTTAGCCACTGGACCACCAGGGAAGTCCCCAATAAAGCTTTAAGAAGATTGGAGTCATGTTTGGTTTTTTTGTTTAAACATATATTACAGTGTTTTGAAAGATGAGGGCATGGCCCCTGAAGTGCCTCCCAGTTTTTGACGTATTATTGTTTTTGCATCATATTAATTTATAACAGTCATGTTCTGTTTTGTAATTCTCATAGGCCTGCAGGCCTCTGCCTACATGTCCTTCATCCCTGAGCCCTGGATTTCTTTTTTAGCTGGATTTCATTCTCAGGAAGGACTCATGCTTCTGGGAGGAAGCTGCTGTTTGGGCTGGCCTGTCCATGTGGGCTTTGCTCCGTATCCCCGGGCTCTGTGCCGACATGGCCTTACGGCCCTCGGTGTTGATGCGGCCGTGGAACAAGCCTGACGTCCTCCGCATCTTGTAGGCAATTGCTTTCTCTTCTTGGACAGCAGAAGAATTCTTGTGTTCAGTAGCCTAACTCAGCTCTGTTTTTGCGTTGCTTGGTTCCTCCCAGGACCCTCGGTCTCATCTCTAAAAGATTATTTTCGGCTCCACATTGCACAGAGGCACTGCTGAGAACTATAGAGTCAGCAGCTTTGGGTCACTGACCAGAGCACTTGGAAAGGCTCTTGTTACAGCTCTCGGCCTTTGGCAGACCTACTTCCCAAAATCTCAGTGGGTCCTCTGTGATATTTTCTTTTTAGTTAATTTTAGATTACACAAATAATGGGCAAACCTGTTCTCCTTTCTAGGGCCAGGACATTACAGATAAAGCTAAAGTCTAATTGGCCGCTAACCCCCATTGAGGTTCTCCTTCGTGTACCCCAGTGGTAACTACTGCCATGGGTTTGAGGCATATCCTTCCAGACCTTTAAAAATTGCTTTTATATTTTCATACAATTATGTTCTGTCCCTTCACAGAAAAAATAGACTGTGTTCAGGCTGGTGTATGAATTGTTCTGGGTTTACTCAGAACAATCTGTATGTGTGGATTCCAAAGAGCTGCTCTTAGAGTGAGGTTTTTATTCTAATTAACAAGCCAACAGAGACATTAACAAAGAAGTATAAGCAATGCGCTCTTAGGAGCAGAACCTTCGTACAAACGTTCCCAGATACCATGTCTGTAGAGCTTTGACTTCTAGGCAGAAACAGACTGCATGCATTCAGGTCATTTTGACACAAACTTGTTTTAAGAATCTGAGTACACAAGACTTTCTACCAGCTCATGTCCGTGTATAAAGCCGTAGACCACAAAAGAGCTAGAAGATTTCACTGCATTGTCTCTGAAAAATACAGAGTATTGGGTTTTGTGTGTTTTATAGCGATCATGCTGAATAAATCATAAGACAACTTTGTGTTTTCTACTGAACTTGAGCTCTGTCCACATTAACGAGTATCCATCTTTCTAGTTCAATAAATATGGGACGGAGGAATGAATGCTTGGGCTACCACCCTTTTGCTTTCATACTCTGGAACATTCTTAACTAATTAAGAGAATTCACCGTAAGATGGTCCTGAGGTCCTTGGGGAGTTCCCAGCACACAGACCATTCCTCACCCCCATTTAGCTTCTCACTGTGTTCTTTGTAGATGACATGGCAGAACTCCTCCTTGGGGAATCAAAGCTGGAGCAGTACCTGAAGGAACACCCCCTGCGGCAGGGGGCCAGTCCCCGAGGCCCCAGGCCCCAGATGACTGAGGTCCGCAAGCATCTGACCGCTGCCCTGGACCGAGGGAACCTCAAGGTACCGTGGGCCTCGGGATGAGGGCTTAGAGGGATGTGCTGGCTCTACCTCCTCTGGGCAGCGTGTGCTCGGGAAGGATGCCCAGGGACAAACTGGGCGACGGGCGGAGCACATCTGTGGCTTGTCTTCTGAGGAGCAGGCCGACTCCCTGTGCAATTGATGTGGGGCTTCCAGACCAATGGCTTCTCTCTGATGAGAGTCTCTAATGACACATTATCCTGAGAAATGGCACTAATCTTCCCCAGGTGCTTGGAATAAAGCTGTTATCTGTGGCCCAGGACTCAATCTGACACCTTGTCCCACTGAGAAGAGAGAAGTGAATCAGGAGTGTCACTTAAACCGCATGATATCCTGCCTGAAATGTGCAGCTTGTGAATGTCCCAGGCAGCTCTGGCCCAGAGCGGGGTGCACATTGGCGCCGGCAGGCCTGGTACCTTGGTGTGGGAGGGAACTGGGGCAGGAACTTCCCTCTGCCTGAGCAATGACCCTAATCCTCATGGCACAGGAAACCCTAAGCGCTGCCCTTCTCCTCATCTGCCCTGTTTCCTGGTCTCTGTATCCAGCTTTCCCTCTCCATTTCACATCTTTCCTTGCTTCACTGAATCTTTTTCACCTTGCCTTCCCTCCCCCCTGCCCCCTTCCCCACCCTGTTACCTCACTTACTGGTTTCTGGACACTTCCCTGCCTGAAGTCTGGCTCTTAACTGGTTTCCTGAAGTCAGTCTTGTTCAGATAGCTGACTGCATCCCAGCACTCCTGCCAGCTTCTTCAGGGTCCCTTTAAAATCTCGGATGTATTCTCTGTTGGGGAAGGGCAGTCTTCAGTGAACTTTTAAAGCTCTTCCTTTCTTCCTTCCTTCCTTCTTTCACTTTTCTTCAGAGTTAGGGACAGTTGTCTCCATGTCAGTTGTTCTTAACGAAGATGGTCCTGGTGACATTGGTGGGTCCTAATCAGTGGGAAAGGGTGGGGGGACCTCATAGTGACAGCTGGTCAGACTCAAGTGTCCTTCCAGGAGGTATAAGGCTGAGACTCTGTGTTGGGGGGAGAGGTTGAAGATCACTGCTCCAGGCCTGGCACCTTGGCTAGTTGCTATCCCACTTTGAGTCCCCCCACTTTGAATTAACCTTTAATTTTACCACATGTTCATAGTTTTTGCTCTCCATCCTCCACAAGCCAGTGCGGTAGTAAGAACATTGAATTTCAACTTAGAATTCTGAGTTTGCTTTCCAGTTGTGGATTTATAAGCTGTGTGATCATGGGAAGTTACTTAAGCTCTCTGAGCTTCACATTTCTTATCTGTAAGTGTACTTAGCTCAAGGCCATTCTGAGTCTCAGGTGTAGAAGTTCTTTCACAACTGGATAGCGCGAGATACATGTCAGTTTTTGCTATTTTATTGGTTCTACCTAGAGGAGTTTTCTCCTGCTGCCATTTTTGAGCTCCCTCTGCCTTATAAAGAGTGTTCCAAAGTCATATTTGGAACATATCTTGCTTGGGCGGGTTGACCCACTCACGCTGGCTGATGTGAAATTTCCTCTCCTCTTGACCTTAAGTTCGGATGTCTCCTAGCTGGGAGCTAGGGAAAGCCCTGTGCAGACACAGGTGCCCACAAAACACAAGTGAACTGAGGCTGGAGAGACCAGAGCGAGGTAGCCGTGTGGTGGCAAAAAGAGCCCGGACGAGGAGTCAGGAGGCCTGGCTTCTGATTCAACTCAAGAAAGTTGCGCTTGTCACAGGCAAGGTAACATGGCACTGGGCTGGAGCTGCTCCCCTCTCCCCCTCGGCCCAGGGGCCTCTGCCAAGCTGTTTCTTCCTCTGCACAAGGCCATAGATTGGACTTGCCCAGCAAGGCTCTCCATACTGTGCATACTCTTGGAATTTTCTTCAAGCTCCTGCGTATTTTCCATCTGGCCCTTCAAGTTTACCTTTTTTTTTAATTAAAAATTTTTTCGGGTTTAATTTTTAAAACTTTTTTCTTGTGGTAAAATATAAGTATCATAAACTTTGCCATTTTAACCATCTTTTAGGTTCAGTGGTTTTAAGTGCATTCGTATTCAGATCACCACCATCTATCCCCAGAAACTTTTCATCATCCCAAACTGAAGCTCTGTGCCCAGCAAACACTAACTCCCTCCCCCTCTCCCTTCAGTTTGCTTTTCAGCCTATGAGTCTCAGTTCTGGGGAAAGAGGGAGGACACAGGAATCTCCTAGGAAGCCTTTTCAATATACCCAAGCCTGCCCTGTCCCCTTCCCTGGTGGAGAACCCCTGTGGTGGATTCTTTCTTTTCACAGCTCTTTTTCTCTTTTCTTAAGTCTGCTCTGATTTCTTTCTCTGTTTCCAAATATAATTCTGACGTCTTGCATTGGTGCCACTCCCTTGGGCCACTCTTAAAACCCTTTTGCTCCCTTCATTCTCTTGCCTGTTCTATGTCCTCTGTAGCGCTACCCCTGCTCCCTTTCAGGGACTGCCTGGAAGCCGACCACCTTGGCTGAAACAGCGGCTTTGCCGTGCTCTGGCTGGTTACCTGCATATCGCCATGCTCTGGCTGGTTACCTGCATATCGCCCACTCCGTCTCAGCCACAGATTACAGGATAGTGCAGCTTCATGGTGTGCTTCTGTAAGCTGAAAAATCCGGCTTTGTATACCTGGGGTTCCAATGAGAAGGCCTAGAAGAGGGTGATAAATGTTTCCTTATGTAGATGGCTGGGTTGCCTCTTCTTTCCCCAGTGATGAGTGGGGCTCGAGGATGGGCTGAGGATGAGGTTGGTGGGTGTGGACTGGGGAAGCCAGCCTCTCCTGATGGAGAGGAAGACGAGCCCATCAGAATTAGAACTTGCAGCCTCTGGGAAGGGACCTGGGTCAGTAACCATAACAAGCTGGAACAGCTCAGCGAGAAAAGTTTGTCCCCGGAAAGAAAGCAAGTCCTGAATTTTGCACCAATTTAGAAAGCCTCTCTCCTTGGGATTTGGGTTACAGTCTGTGGTATACCCCCAGTGCCGTGGGCAGGACCCACCAGGATGTCCGTGGAGCCTCCTTTTCAGAGACAGGTGCTCGTGTGTTTTGTTCATAACGCACGCCTTCCATTCTTGACCCAAACCTGAGGCCTGAGGGGAGCCTGTTTTACAGCAGATTTTTTTTTGCAGTACGCGGGCCTCTCACCGCCGTGGCCTCTCCCGTTGCGGAGCACAGGCTCCGGACGCGCAGGCTCAGCGGCCATGGCTCACGGGCCCAGCCGCTCCGCGGCATGTGGGATCCTCCCGAACCCGCGTCCCCTGCATCGGCAGGCGGCCTCTCAACCACTGCGCCACCAGGGAAGCCCCACAGCAGATTTATTGAAGTATAATTCACATGCTATATAATTCATCCATTGAAAGTGTACAATTCAGGAGCTGTGCAACCATTACGTCAATTTTAGAACATTTTCATCACCCCAGAAGTAAACCTGTAGGTGTTAGCAGTCATCTCTCATGCCCCCATCGTGCAGCCCTAGGCAACACCAGTCTGCTTTCTGCCTCAGCAGGCTTGACCGTTCAGGCCAATATATGTCGCCTGTGTGACGGGCTTTTTCACTCGGCGTCATGTTCTTGAGGTTCACCCATGTGGTCCCAGGGGTCAGTTTTTCGTTCCTGATGATGGCTGAGTAATATTCCGGGGGACGGCGAGACCACATTTTGCCTCCCCCTTCATCAGCTGCTGGCCACACGGGCTGTTTCCGCTCTGGGGCCCCTGCGAGCAGTACCATCAAGAAGGCTCCCACGCCCGTCTTTCTGTGCAGAGCCGCGGGGCTCCATGGGAGCATCACACATCATATCATAGGAAAATGTTTTTTTCTCTCCTTTTCCTTCTAGTCAGAATTCCTACAAGAGTCCAATCTGATCATGGCCAAGTTGGATTACGTTGAAGGAGACTATGAAGCCGCTCTCAACATTTATGCCCGGGTGGGCCTGGAAGACTGGCCGCTGACGGGCGTCCCCCCTTACAGGTTACGGATGGCCGCGGACGCCTACGCCACCAAAGGTGAGGCCCACGCCTGCTCTCCTGGGGGCCATGCCCCGGGTCGCGCTGTCTGGAGCTGCAGGACCTCCCTGGATCCTGCGATTTGACCCCTGTGCCCTTGGCTGGGCTTAACCCCAGCAGCTCCCGGCGAGGCCCCTGGGGTTGCCCCACCACAGGCACTGGATCATTTTAAGTCCAGCGACACGGCGTTTCCTTAGAGCTGCAGCTCCTCAGTTGTCCCCGAAGGAACAACATTGCAGTAAGGTTTCCTGATGATTAACGTGCAGCTTAAGCAGGGACCGTTCTTGGTAACTGAGATGCCGCACAGCGTATATACAGGGATCCTCATCATATGGCCAGTCGGCCACGTGACTGATCTCATTGTTATTCATCAGTGCCACCTCTGGGTTAATTAAGGCTCAGTGGTCACTGTAACAGCCCGTCATGCAGTGTTTACCTGGGGGCCTAGGGGCTCAGGGGATAGACGGGGGAAATGTTGCCCTGGTTGCCACAGAGGAGTTTGTAATCTAATGTGAGGGAGTGCAGTCCCACGGGGAAAAAAAATGACAGAAAGCCAGGGCACACACATTATTTGACCTTTCCAAGTCTCCACTTCCTCATCTATGAAATGAGTGTAATCACATCCACTTCACAGAGTTATGAGGATTAAGTCACATAATGTATGTAAAGCACTTACTAAATGATATTTTTAAATGTCAGCCCCAAACAAAACAGCAAATGGAAAAAGCCAGGCCCGGTAACAGCTTTTCAGAGGCAGGAGAGGTCACCGTAGGCCAGCAGGGCCAGGAAGGCTTCCTGGAGGAGGAGGGACACTTTGAAGTAGATTTATAAAGGCCTCAGTAAGAAGGAGACACTCTGAAAGCAGCTCCTCTCCTTCCTGCCACCTACCATGCAAACCATGCAATGTGGCTGACTGTGGCCACACAGAGGCTCGGGCCCTGGGTGGGTTGACCCTCTAGAACAGCATTGAGCTGGCTACTTGTCTGCAGCCGGCTGTCTGTCTTGGTTATCCTATGCAATGTTGAACAAAGACCCAGCCAAGGCACACTTAAAGAGCCTTGTGACAAGGGTGACATATTCACCCAGTTCCTTGGGGAGCCTTGCTCAAGCACTTTTAGGTTCCTCTAATTAATCTTCTCAGTGTCCCTGTGGGCTGGGAAAGGATGCTGTCACTCTGACAGGTCACTCCGGTGGTTTACTGGGCACAGTCCTTTGAGGCTGTCTCAGGGGTTCTGAGGGCCTGGACCTGGGCGTGCATCTGTCTGAGGTCTGTGCCACACAGCTGCCCTCTTTTCTCGCTGGTGTTCACCCAGCACCTCACATGCCTTAGGCTTATGGGAGCTGTGTGTGTGTGTGCGTGTGTGTGTGTGTATGTGAGAGAGAGAGAGATTTGGGGCCAGGAACAATATTGTGCAACAAGAGCAAGGCTTCATCTGGCAGTTTCCAGTCACCTGATTGACCTGGGGCCTGCTGGCTTGTAGCCAGGAGTTGGTTTGTCCTTTGGGGGTGGAGCATGGCTCTAAGACCTGGTTAGCACCAAGAGCTCAGGTCTTGATTTGAGACGGCCTGGTGGGGCAGACTGTCTGCAGGTGGCACCACCAGCTTAGTCTCACGCCTGCCATGCAAAGTGGGCAAGGGGGACAGGAGGCTTGGTCCCCATGTCTGGCCCTGGGTGGTGTGTGATTAGCAGTGGGCCCCAGCCACGGGGCTGAGGCATTTGGCTGTTGGGACATGCTGGCTGGCTCATGGGAGAAGGGAACAGCTGTCCCCTCACTTCACCAGAGTAAGACTGGGCTGGAGCAAAGCCCAGGTGCACCTTGGATGGGCATGCACCAGCCCACGCCCCTCCCCTGTGCCACCTGTATGCTGCTGTCAGCCGGGGAATTGACCTGCACACTTTCACAGGTCACCTCAACTTTTCCATGGTCCCCTGAGGTCTGACTCGACCCAGTCTCTCAGCCAGAGTCAATGTCCATGAACTCCCACATCTGCTCTTGCAGCCATGGCCGGGAGCAGATTCCCCTGGCCAGGTAATATAGCCTCGGCTTGTTGGGAATCAGAAGCCAACAGGATTCAGTTATGAGAACCTCCTATGGGCCAACACCACGTTAGGGTTTTATTGTCTTTTTAATCCTCCAAACCCCTAATTTACAGACCAATGAAATGAGACCGGGTGAGGTTACTAAGAATGATACGGTGCCTACTGTGTGCCAGGCACTGTGGCCCTTATTTGGGTATCTCAGCCAAGCTTCCCCGTCACCCTGTGAGGTAGACACTATTATTTTTTCCATTTTACAGATGAGAAAACCGAGGCACAGGGATGTTAGATATGCTGCCCGGGGGCCTACAGCTGGGAAGTGGTAGAGCCAGGACTCAGCCTCAGTGGCTGGTTCCAGAGCCCATGCTCTCCTACTGAGTGACAGGAGGGGGACTTAGTCTGAAGAGTGTTCAGCTCCAAAGCCCACGTTCTTAATTACTCTGCTCTGTTGGCACGTGGATGGGAATGCGCTCAGGCCAGGTAAGGTTTCCGCAGGTAGAAAACATTCAGGTCACTAGAGAACACCCTAGATTTGTGTCCACACTCCTCCTCTCAGCCCCACCTCTCACGTTCCTCTCCCTTAACTCCTTGCCCAGGTCCCTTGCTGTAAGTTCTGGCCCTTAAGCTCGCATGTCCTGTCTTCCCTGACACCCTCCAGGGCTCACCCATTCAGAGGCCATCACATTTGATAGTATCACAGCCCAGTAGGTTAGAACTACTCAAACATCATATTAGAACTAGTTGTACTGCGATCAGACACTCCTGCCAGTCTGTGAGTTCCACTCAGGGAGGAACTGTTTTGTTCGTTTGCCATCCTCAGAAACTAGCACGGTGTCTGGTACCTAATTGGTGCTCAATTATTGATTGAAATTTATAGAAGTTCCCTTGCTCAGATTTCTACCAAGGTGCCCATCGTGTAATTCAGGTGATTCTGGGTGCCTTTGCTTCTAGCTGTCATGGTCAGGTGCATTTTCTTTGCCCAGGGGTAACATACTGGGCATATTTCGATAATTCAGACTTACTCGCTGCCAGTTACGGGGTATACCTGTAAGAGCATGTTGACATCACACCATGACAGAGGCTGGCATGGATCCCTTCCCCAAAGGTTATACATTTCAGTTCATTGCCATTATCAGAGAGCCTCTCAATGGATCTCAACTTCCCCCCCGCCCATCCCCCCAGCGCCTTCCTCCTATCCCTTAAAACTAAGTAGAGAAACAGAGAATGGGAATAGAAGACATGGAGAAACTCTTTAGCTTCTGGTAGAACTGGGTTAATCAAGTGAGTAGAAATCTTTATTCTGGGCACAGATTGAGATATCATGTGAAATCTCCAGGACACCGAATGGCCACAGATGTTCTTTTCCCAAAGGGGGAGGCTTGGGAACAGTGAACACATGGTCACTGTCTATTTTGGGACTTCGATCTGCTGGACATCGGCTAACTTGCTGCAGCTAGGACGGTGGGAGCTGTAAGTGGCTTGCCTTCCTAGAGATGGCCTTTATAAATAGCCCTGGCATGTACCCTGTTGTAATAGAGGGACCACAGATGCATTGGTTCCAATTTGAGGGAAGGCCTGTGACAGTCCTGCGATGGCCCACCTGGTCACGGTGGGTAGGCAGCTGTGTTCTGCGAGGTTGCTGTTCCTCCCCCGTCTGCTAGGGCTCAGTCCTCATCTGTGTGGTGGATGACTGAAGCTGGGTGGCTGGCATGTTGCAGCTCGTGGAAAGGGGAAAGGAGAGAGATGTCTAGGGTGAGCAGAAGTAACACACGTCAGCTGTGCTGACAGTGCACCGGTGAGAAGTCACTATAGGGCCGTGCCACCAGGCACTTGGGAAAAAGAGGAGACTGGAGGGGGGAGCATGTAAGCCTCTCATTAGACATGTCCATCAGAGCTTGGTCTCGGACCCAGATGGGACCTGTTGGAGGATGCAGGGAGAAGAAAGTGGCCTGTGCTCAGGTGAATGAAAGGGAATGCGTAGGATCTGAGGCTTGGGACTGGTGCCCACGAGGAGGGAAATTACGAACCTGGAAACAGCAGCGTGGTATTAAACTTCCTTTCCAGATTGCATGGTACCAAAGCAGAGAAGGACTGACTCCAAAATATAAACAGGGCCTTCACAACCTTCTCTCATACAAATGTCTTATTTTCCAGCAGGGGAGACTGTGCCAGAGAAGGTAAGGGACTTGCCCAATGACACAGAATGAACTGGAGGCAGGGCCCCGACACGGAGGTGTTTCTTGGTAGGAAATGTTCCTGTCAAGCTGCATGACATCTGCCCAGGTGGAGAAGGCGGTATAGTGTTGGGAGCTTTGTGGGGCCTCCTCCACTTTCTTTATTCCTCCTTTGTTCCTGGGTTTGAAATTGCTCCTCTGACACACTGACTCAGAGCTTGGGGTGTTGGAGCCAGACTTCCAAGTTTGATCTGTAGCTTTGTCACTTACTAGCTGTAGGATCTCGTGCAAATTACTTTCACCTCACTGGGGCTCCCTTTCTTCATCTATAAAATGGAGATAATAATAGTATCTACACTGTAGCATTGTTGTAGGGAAGGAGTGAGCACATGTAAAGCGCTTAGCACGGTGCCTGGCAGATAACAAAGGTTAGCTATTTTTATTCTTATGTATCCCTGGAGCTTGAACCCAAATGGATAGATCTCTTCAGAAGCCCCAGGTAACAGCCAGCTATGGGGAGAGGGGAGAGTTGCCCTAGTGTATCTGCCTTGTGTAGCAGAGGGCTTGGCTCAGGCTGTGGGAGTGCAAGCAGAGATTGGAGGCTGAGGGAGGAAAGGCTGTTGCTGCTGGAGGCTGGGGGGCACCCAGTGGTCAGGGGCAGGTGGAGTGGGTACCGTAACATCCTGCACTTCGTCAGCCCTGCCCCGGGCTGGCCCGGGAGGTTAGAGGGTCTCTAGAGTTGGAGCCACATTCATGGTTTTATCACAAAAGGCCATTCACGTTGGGAT